CCCTACCGTTCTATCTTCGAACATGTATGGCGCCCCCGCCCTTTTTTAAATAGTCACAATCTTCCCTGGTATCTGCCATCGAAACCAATTTCCGAACGCAACCGTCGGGGCCGAGCAACCAGTCATCCAAATCTGCATTTCTGCTTAGGTCGAAGCACGTTAGAAATGAATTGCGAATGCTTTCTTGAATTGGCGCCTTGACGAAAATATCGATCCCAGCTCAAATATGCACTCAGATTCAACCAAAGCAGCAATCATACATTATCTTTGAACCAGGCGCGAGGCCCGATGTGGTGCAGACTTGACACCAGAGATTGTCCGCAACAGCCTTGATCTACTCCTGAACCCTTTGACGAAATCAGCAAATATCGAGATCCTCAAATATATAACCGAGCGCATTGAGAGGACATTTCAATCAAAGCGTGGTAAATCCACAACCGAGAGCACGCAACCCAACTACTTCATCGGCAGTTTATCTGAAAGCACGTAATGCAGATGCCGACTTGGAAATCAGCAATACAGAACCCGTTATCAACTTGTCAGAGGAAGAACAATGTTAGGACCTATGCGGATGACGCTTCAACCCACGAGGTCTCAGCAAGGAAAATCTGACGAAATCGTTATATCGGTTATGGATCAGGTCGATGCTATGCGTGTGGTTGAATCCTACCATGGCTTTCCGAAATCACGTACGCTCTTCCACAAAGTATCACGCCATACATTACACTGCACGATACGAATCCTTTCACACTTTGCACTGTGGCATTGTAATACTTTATAAGCATCACCGATCGAAGTTTTATCTCATCTTTTGATCACCATATACGAGTTTCTTCTCCTGCTTTGGTATTCGAATGGCTGTAGTCCACCTCCCACTAAACTCATAAACATATGCAGAAGTTACATGAATCCTCCTGAGATTGGCACAATTCAACCAGATCTCGTTTGGGGTGATTTCAATTTCAGTATCGTGACACATCCACGATCCATGGTCCTCGCGGAAAGACTGTAGCTCCGTGCCATAGTGTCTACAATACATGCATACGGGTGGATCTACCGGTACAGAGCACGCTTACTACAGACCAACAACCCCAGCCTCTCTTCAAACATATCTTCTTGTGAAACACGGTACCTACAAGGATCTCAAATTTGAACTTGATCATCAGGTGATCCCAAATGAACCAGTACACCTTCTCCGGCGAGTGCCTCTGTCCCAATCACCGCCCCAGCACCAGAGTCGTCCATTCCAAGGTTTTAACCGGTATCGCCACCGACTGCATTATTTACACGACAAGGCCCGCACACTGTTGTTTCAGACTGAGATCCGGGAGCATCAACAACTACTACGGTCATACCTGACAATACATGTATTGGCAGACGGATTGGAGCGTATACTAAATCGAATCTGGTGCTACGCAGTAAACCCTGCAATTTTTGGAGGTTGCTATTACGACACTGACAATTCGTGGGTACAACCATTGTCGAATCACACGTTCCGCCCGCGATCGGTTGCCCAGCACAATCTTCAGATGTATAAAGATATCGCACATCAACGTCGATCACCGCGTCAATCTTGTAGACTGAGTGTCCAGGATTCAGGCGCTACACTGACGGGTTCAACTAACCCACGCGTCATTCCACCGGACACATCAGCAACTCCTTTATCGAAAGCAGTTATTCACCCGGAGTTGGTGTTGAAGGCAATGCTGCGCTATCCAAAAAAAGGCCCTGGTTCGGATGGTATTCATATCTTTCTCATCAGCTTGCTGTCCGTACATGACTAGTGATTGGTAACGTGATAATTTGAGATATTGCCAATTAATGGACTCTCTCTCAGTGCTCTTGTATCGTTTCTCCAACTCGAGCATTGTGCGACGCAATCGTGCTGCCCGTACTTCAACGTTCATACGAGTGTCATAAAAGTCGTTGAGCCACTTCTCTAGTAGATAGTCTACTGGAGTGCGACGCAAGTTTGAGTGCGACGCAAGTTGTCAATGATTAATATATTGTAGTCTTCCACATCAGTGAAGTCTTTCCAAAGCTGTTTGGAACTACGTATATTGAGTGCTGTGCGCGATACCTCTGTTGCGTCTATCTGTCGTAGCAATTATTGTACGAGTGATAGATACTGTATCAATGGCATGTTGGTGCTCGCAAACAAGTCTTTTGCTACAGATACAAACTATATTGTATCGCGACAATCGGCCATGCTAACATACTTGTTGGTTGGCCACTTGGGGAACTTACTCATCTTTAGCTTGTTCATCTCTGGTTCTGAGATTTTATCCCATACATATGATCTAATTAGTGTTAACTCGCTCATAAAGCCCCTGATTGCAATGCACTCATCGTGATCCCTTTTATCACAGTCCCTCATAGCTTTATTGTGTATAACTCTGATAACCATTGATCTACTTCTGGTATCAATCTGTTGGGTTGTTGGTTGTAGACTGCATTACGCAGCTCGTGGAGTGCGCGTATGTCAATGGGATCCTTCGCCTTCTGTGCGTACAGCTTGTTCAATAGTATGCCTATAATATAGGCGTTACCATCGTAGATGTCTTTGTCGATGACCACTTCGATTTTATTCATTGCTGGATCTAATGATCTTCTCGCTGGCGTGGGATCATCGTCCATGTGCATCGCTCCTTCTTCGTTATTAGGAGTGAAAGTGCGTGAGGATGCCTGGAAAACTGGCATTGCGTCTGTGTGTACTGGATTGGTTCTACGGTACGGCTTGTGTTTCCTCGCGTGCGTGCGAGTGGAGCTCACTTGTGCGCGTAGGCTCCGTCGTGCTGTGTTCGTTGGTATGGCGCAGAAGTCATCGACTATTCTTGTGTTGAGTTGCCATTAGTGTTAGAATACTCTTCTGTGTGGTGTGCGCCTGTTGTATTACTCAGTCTTGTTCTCCAACATAAACATGTTCCCCCTTTAAATTCACCCATTTTGCGTTAATTTGGTTATTACCTTTGTGTAGGTCTTTTTCGTGGTGTCTGTGGGAGTTCCGTGTTGTCCTGTAGGCTCAATTAGCTCAACTTGACATTCTTTTGACACCTGATTTTTTTATGGAGGGATTATGGTTTTTATTGTTGTGACTAGACCTCCTCTTGTGATTTCTGTTTTAGTTCATGTGATGTTCATGAGAGGTGTGACCTGTTTTGTGAGTGCTGAACGTATGTCCGTGTGTGTGTGGCCCCTGATGTTGGAATGTGTTGTAATGTGTAGTTCATCACTTATCTTATTTTTGTCCCTTGTATTCTTGTTTTGGTCTGAAATTCAGACATGGGATCGCAGACGTTGGTAAAACTGTGTCTGAAATAACTTGTTCGGTTCAATTGCTATTTTACCATCAAATATTCGATCTGATCTTCACTGCACGTTTGTGTATTTTTGTTTTATTTGTATCTTTATATCTTTATTCCTGCCTTTGTATTCTATATGTTGAAACTTTAGGATCACCTCTGCAGTTGAGGGACACTATCGATGTATCTTTTGGTGCTGTTTGTGAATTTGATGGTATTTAGATCTAACCTTGCCACTGGGGTTTTGTGCCTTTTAGTGTGTACGTGTCGGTACATGTGAGCTGCAAGCGTTTATGTCTGTATAAAAGTACTTCTCAATATTAGCTATTTCTGTTTGTGTGTGGTTGATCTCATGTTCCATTTCACTTACATCTGATTCTATACCTTGGTGTTCTTGATACTTAATACACTTTGAATACTAACTGTTTATTTATGTCTATGGTTTATTCTTGTGTATGTCCTGACATCTATGGAGTTTATATGTGGTATCTTTCGTGTGTTTAAGTCATCTATGGATTTTAGATGTTAAGATGTCCATTAAATTTAATAGCTCGTCAACAAGCGTACACCGTTATTGCTTATCCATACATGCGTGTTCTGTGTCTGTGTTGTGCTCTTATTAGTTTTTTTGCAGTGGTATATTTCCCCTTGCCTGGATGCCTATTGTGCGTTGTGTCTTAGGTTCTTGCTTTTGAATCTTCATTTGAATGTTGATTTGACCTTTGTTGATGCTTCTATGACTGTTTGACTTGGCTTGTGGATTCTACAGTGTCCCTTGCGCGTCAGGTCATATTGCTTCGCTACTGTTGTTTTCTGTTAACTATTTGGTATATACTTTTGTATACTTTGTGATTTCAATGTGTATGTTGCGTTTAACATCGATTTATGTTTGCTTGTAATATGTTCGCGTGTTTTATGCTTCTCTGGTGGTAGATATGGTCTTCAGCGTGTTGTGTAGTGTGATTTGTGCATGTTATCATTTTGCTTGTTCACCACTCTATTGAGTTCATAGCCCCCAACTTAAAAGAAGTTATCATAAGTGACACTTTTTTATATACAAAATATTTACTCCTCAACATTGATAATGTTATCACAGTGACAGGTTATGTTTTTTACCCTTGGTACAACATTTGTTTATTTACGGGGACACCTAGGCTCAATTTTCCTAATACAATAAAACGATGCAATACAATAAACTCTCAGTGGGTACCTGTTTAGCCCTGCTTGCCTGTTTTGTGGAGTGAAGAGAGTTACAAAATTCTTCGTTGATCGTGTTCGTTCTCTGTTCGTCTCCTGGTTCTCAGTTAAACCCCAAAACACGCTTCTTTGTCGAGTAGATTCTCTCGATAGGTTGTGCCTCTTCTTTTGCCCTCTTTTTGCCACACCACTGCTGGGTTGCTAGCTTAGTTAACTATTATTCTTACTAGGAATTGTTATCTTACTAATTAAGACCTTTTTATCGTCCTTGTCGGTTGACTTCTCAAGTGCGAATCTCTTAGCTAGGTAAAATTCCTAGGCTGAAGGACTCACATTGAGTCTTTATTTGTGTTCGTTCATTTCCTCAATTATTACTTAAGTGTTCTCTCACACGCGGGAGTCCCTGTACAATATGTCGGTATTACCGCTAAATTACATATCACTCTAATATCAGAAATATTGGATCTTAGATCCAAAACTCAGCATTTGATAATACTTGGTTTTGGTGTTTGTATTAGGTAGGGGGGGGGGGGGTTGATTTTCTGGGCCCTAGATGCTACATTAAGGCCGCAGTAGAATGATCGACTGACCCCCCAACTATGGGACGCCCTGACTTTGGCAGCCCACTTATTAGAATCTTGGCTGAGGCATTCTCCGCCCTCTTAATGGCTAGTACATTTTTTAAAGTTTTCAACTGTACCTTCTTGGCAGCCCATCCGAAGAAAGCAGACACGGATATTGCATCCCCTACCGATTTTCGACCGATAACTTTAGCGTAGACTGTTTGACGCATTTTACGAAGTGCTCCCTACTGCTGATATCAAATCACCCCGGATCAACCACCCATGCAGCTCAAGTTGGATTCAAATCACACTACTCTTGTCACACTCATGCCCTTGCTACGATGGAATGTGAGACAATCCAATGATGCCACGAATGATGAATGTCTTGGCATTACCAAAGCATACAATAAGGTGGTCTTTCCGCGTATGTGGATGCTGTTGCGCCACACCGTAATGCCAGAGAACTGAATAAGTTGTCTCTGTGCATTGTTTGAGGATGTCCCCACACGGGTGACGTGTCGTGGGAAGTTTTCACCTTCTTTCCATAGAACGAATGGCATACTAAAAGTTCGATTGTCGATCCAACGATTTTCATCATATATATATATATATATATATATATATATATATATATATATATTATATATATATATATATATATAT